TCAGGCAATATCAGAAGAGAACCTGGGGGCAGGGGGCACCTCACATCATTCCACTTAATTCCCTATTTAGCCCTTCCCAGGGCAAGGGGAAAGAACTCTTGCCTCTAACATTTTGCCCTCTCCGGAGGAAGAGTTGGCCACCACTCCAAACCCCCCTTGACCTATCAGCTTTTATGCTGGGCTATGAGAGAGAGACTGACAGTTTTCCATTGTTAGGGTCGATGCCTCTCTTAAGAAAGATTAGTTTTGCTTCCCTTACCCCCTGACTGTCTTTAAACCAAATAAGATTCATTTTTCTTGGCTCCTAACAGCTGGGGGTTGGCTCAGATGTTTGTGGGGGAGGGGGGAGGAAATGTTTCTGTGACACACAGATGACATCGTGATTATGCCTCTTTATGAAGAAGTCTTCAGAGAGACTTCTATTTCCTTGAGTTTATCCAAGAATTGCCTGGAATTCTGGTTTTTCTGTGATAAAATAATAGTTCAATGATTTATTTATTTTAATCACTATTTGGCACAATTAAGCAAGTCATTAAATGTATCATCAATATATATGAGTGGACAAGGCTTATGATTCCACCTTATTCCCATTTCACTTATTCCTCTTCATCTCAGCCCACACGTACACTCAAGGAGTAGCATTGCTGGTACAGTTTGTAGCTCCTTTCTGATAAATATAATAAGAAATGGTAGAGGCCACAATTGAGACACAGCCAAAAAAAGTAGAGCAGTGTTAGCCAGAGAAGGCAAGTCAATCAAAATAGTAAAGAGCTAGCTGGGCATGGCAAGGGGAGGAGGGAGAGGGGAATAATGGTGTAAAAAGATTAGAGGAAGAGTTGGAGGCTTTGACATACGAGAAGCTCAGGGACAGCTGTGAGGTGGCAAAAACTGGAGAGTGCAGGAGGGAATGTGAAAAGTGTTTCTGGCTTATAAATTCATCTCTTTAAAGTTCATCCAGAAATGCAAGTGAAGAACAGTTTTCTTTCCTTTTTTTCTATTTCTTTTTAAAAGTTATTTTTTAAATGATCTTTTATTATGCCAGGCTTTGCTTCTTACAAGCAATTCACAGCATAACTGAACCAAGAGTTGCCTCGGGATTCTTTAGGGTTACCTATATAACATACATGTAGAATTTGATATGCATGTACCATGGTTTTCTGCAAACACTTTGCAAACAAGCAAACAAACAAACAAACACCAAAAGAAAACAGGGAGGGGGAAATCTTTCTTATCCCATGACCAACTTCTCATACAAAAGCAGTTCTGGAATTTCTGCCAATGATGTCTTTTCATTATACAAACATCTGTTAAATACCTAGTACGTGACAAGCAACAATGACTAGAATATAGCCCTAGCCTTAAAGGGCTCAAATAATGAGTGAGGTGGATATATACCAACTCCTTAAAATAATGCAGTTAGTTGAGAAATGGAGATCGAGGCAAAGGACCATGCCCTCACAGAGCAAGACATCCCCAGCTCTGCTCATGTGGACAGGGAAGTCTTCTGGGAGAAGCGGAGTCTGCAGGGTAAGCAGAAGCTGCCAGCAGACAAAACGGAGGAAGGAATAGGGCATCTTTGGTGAAAGGAAGAGCACATGGCAAGATGTAGAGGAGAAAAGAGCATGGCTCCATGAGAAACCTGCCATAAAGGTGGATGTGGGGTGGGTGGATATGCGGTTGCAACAGGTTAGATAATAAGGTTAGAGCATAGTTGGCAACATTTCAAAATGTCTTGTACAGTGTACCAGGCAAAGAAATTAAAATGGGTATCCTGTAAGAGATGGGGAGGGGAGGTAGTGAAAACTTTTGGCAGGGCAGAGAGACATGTTCATCTCATTTCAGATACATTGCATACAAATTATTGGAGCTACTATTCTATAGCTTTTCTCCCAAGGCATTTCAAAATGGTTTACTCCTGTGATATTAATCTCCCTGATTTATATCCTTTAATTTTGACCTGGGGTCCTGGCAAAGAAGAGAGGTTAGAGGAAGGAGGGAGTATTGCCGGCATTTATGTAATAAGACAGTAGCAGGATAAGAAAGGGTGGTGGGGGGTATTGGTCAAAGAGAGAGTTTGGTGGTGGGAAGGAAAGGACGAGGAACTTTAAGTCAGACATGGGGTAGCAAAGACAAATGTCTCTGATATCATTCTTTTATTCCTGTCAACAACTGGTTCATATTCCTCATTCAATGAAAAGGCAAAAGAGAAAGGGAAACAAGCTTTGGATGAAGCAATATACATGGTTTGGGGGATGTTCATACTAAGGATTCCAAGGTACATTCAGCTAGAATGCTCAATAATGCAGGAGAGATATCAGGCTAAAATGATGTTCTCTTTATTACCTCCCACTTCTTCTACCAGGTAGATGTAAGAAATACAAGGTATCAATGCATACAAATAGGGCCACTAATGAATAATTAGACTGTTTTACAGGCTTTTGTTTTATGCATTGATAAAATGTATCTAGGATAGGTTCATATTTTGTTAGTGATGTGATGTAATTATATCTCCTAAGAAATAAACACTTAGCAGACTTAGTATGCATGCATACTTAACACACTTGTGTTAAGAACTCTAAACTGGATCTTCTTTCTTAGCCAGTCTACACCCCCACATTTTTCTTTTCTCTTCAGAGAAGGAGGCTTTGGGGACCACTTGAAAGCAATGAGGCTAATGACAGGAAGAGGAAAACCTTCAAATCTAGTTTTTACTTCCCAGCAATGACCAGGTTAACCTACTAAGAGTTTTGTAAGGGCCACAGATGAAAGACCCATCAGAAGGCAGCCAACCACCTAGATATGCTATTGTCTGAGAGAGTTTTCCTATCTAGACTAAAAAATAAGTTCCAACCACTCTCTGACGGTTGAGAGGTGTGTGAGAAGGGGGGAGAGAGAGAGGATTTTAAAAAAAATGAAGAAGACCTATTTGAATCCTGAGTTAATGCCAGAATCTACTAGTCTAAAATTAACCAAAGATTTTTTTTCTCTAATCTTTCCAACCATTAATAATTGTGCTTCTCATTCTTCTTAGACTTAGTATCATATATATTTAAAGTTTTATATAAAAGCTTCTGGTAACCTTTGGCACCAAGATTCCTGATTTGAAGGCAATTCATGTCTGACTTTCATTGGGTTGCAGGAGGCTCTGGGAATCTATGTCCGGTCCTCTCCCACTACAAAAATTCTATTTGCCAATGGTTCAAAAGTAGTTACTCATTTTTAATCTTAAAACAGTCTGTTTGTAATTTTCTAATGTTAGTGAGTTGACATCAGGGTCCTTTTTGACACAAGATTTCCTGGAAGAAATAAACAAACTCTGTTCAAGAGACATTAAATGAAAACGAAGGGTGTCCTGGGCTGTCTCATAACATTTTATAGGTATTAAATTTTGTACCTTCTGGGCTAACGTGCTGTAGTCCCCAAAATAGTTTAGGAAGACTTACCTGGTAACTAACCTGATGGTCCAGTTATCTTCATCAGCCCTAGATTTCCAATGTTTCCTGTTTACTTGCTGGAACGGTTAAGGCAGGACTGAATTTAAAAAGTGGAGCTGGGGAATTAACTCTTGCAGGGGAAAATTAACTTTCCAGTCACTGACTCCTGAGGAGAGGTTTCTTAACAATGCAGCCTGGACACTAGGATTTCCCCACCCCCAGCTGTGTTTAATCTCTAGCTTCTGCAAAGCACCGTATGTTGGTATTGGGGGAGAATGACTCGCAAGCTGAATAAAGTGCCACCAGGAGCATCTGAGTGTAGTTCTGAATATATTAACTGTGGGGAATCCTGAAACCAAGCACTGTGGTGGTTTGGCTGCTGACTGCCGAGGTCTCTTGCCTTCCCTGGGCTTCAGTGTCCTCTAAAAATAATAAGAGCTAATATGTATCGAACACTTCCTGTGTTTCAGGAATTATTATATTCTTTTTTGTATACCATCTCATTTAATCCTCAGATTTCAGCTGTGGGATATGACTATAATCATTTCCATTTCGCAGACGAGGAAATCGAGGCAAGTAAAAATCATTTGCCCAAGTTGATGCAGTCAGTAGTGACAGCTTAGATTTCAATCCGGGTGGATGAACAGATTTCCTGCAGTCTCTACCCTTATCCGTAATGCTGTTCCACCTACTAAAGTGACTGGCAAGGACTCTGTAGGTCTTTCAGTTCAATCAGTGTGTTGGGGGTGGGGGATGGTGCTGAAGAAGACTCTACTTCTGGGCTGGGACTGTATAGCGTTTAGGACCACAGCCTTCCCTTCCCACCATCAAGAATCTTGGAAATATGTCTTTGTCATTAGGCTACAGGTAGCATTGACGGATTTGGTTTAGCTCCTATGCCCCACAAGAATACTTATCAGGGTCATTCTTTTCTGAGTATGTGGGTTAAGCAAGATTTCAGTGGTAGTGGGACCTTGGAGAAATTAGTCGTCTGGAAGGTTGGCCCGGAGAAAAATGCTGCAGCAAGACCCTGCAAGCGTCCAGCTAGCTCATTTGAAAAGGACTATAATGAATCGAAGGAGCCCTTGAATCTGGTGCTGGATCTCAGGGCCAGAACCTGGCCAGGGGCTGTTGACTCCTGCAAAAGAACAGCCACTGCAGCAGCAGCAGCAGCAGCAACAATGAAAACAAGCCAAGTTCAAGCGAAGAAAGCAGACTGTGTGCTGGCAAGGGGGCCGCCCAAGAGGCAGTTGCTGAAGGTGGTAGGTCGTGGAGGTGAGGGTGAGGGAATGAGGAAGGGAAGGAAGGGACACCACCGAAGGGATTTGGAACAAAGGGGTAAAGGGGATTCTTCTAGTCAAATTGTGTCAGTAGCCCAGGAGAAGGTGAAATCGCTAGTGAGCCCTGAAATGGAATAAGAGGGAAAGAAGAAAGCAGCTCACAGCTACCAAGAAGAGGAGGAAGTGGGAGATGTGCTGCTTCCTGTAGAAAGAACGATGACTGAAGACAAAGCTGGGTGGGGACTAGTCCCTGGGCTGCAGGCGCAGCTGCTACACATACACACAACGGCCGCTGCTCTGTGGGCAGCTCCTACTACTGCTGAGCTGGGCTGGGCTGGGCGGGCTGCACCGGAGCTTGCCTGCACTGATCAGCTCGGAGGCAGGAGAAAAGCCACTCTTCTCTGACCAGCCTCAGAGCCAAGGTAAAAGAAAGGCTTTTCATTGTCGCTCCTGTTTAAGTGAGTAAAATGACCATCGCCTGTGGTTTTAAGGGCAGATTTCTAAAGAAAGATAGGGACATTGTTTCAGGATTGGGGAAAATGATTCAGATGGGTTCTTGCAGGAGGGCTTTTGAGAATGACCACGTTTGCTTTAAAAAGAAAAAGATCATAGTGCTTATCTTTGGTGACTGGTCAAGAAAACACTAAATGTAAGCAGCTGTTTGCATAGTTTTCTCAGAAGAGAAGCAGGGCTGAGTTGAAATCAACTGGAGCTGTGAAGCTGTGCGCTGACCACATGAGCGTTGCAGTCCCCTTTCAGGGGTGTAAGCTGTGTAAAATGTTAATTGCATTCTCTTTCCTACACTTTGCGCTGGGGTATCATCTGTTTTGCAACATAATGACTGTGATTTGGCTTCTTTTTGGGGGGAGGGGGTATTAAATCCTTTTGTACTCAGAATTTGCCAACAAAGGCTGTAGAACTGCGTATTGTGAGGGGCAGTATTTACCATTAAAAAAAACCGGTGTCTTCTTCCCTGTGCTCTGTGCAGCTGCTTTCAGGATAACCTCAGAAACAGATAGAATTTGCCCATAGGTCTCATCCTAAAGTTGCATCCTTTTTCGAAGGAGGGTGGCGGGTTTCACTTGCCCAGAATGAGATACCAGTGTATACATGGATTTATGTTTATATGGATTTTATTCATCTCTAGGTCAAGATGCATATTAATCTCAGTGAGGAACAAAATATAAAAGTGTTGCTGTTGCTGGGTTGTTTCCTTACCTGTATATACCATGGATAGACTGAAATAGTAAAATCGGAACGTGATTTTTATTCTTTGATTTTCTTGAGCAATGGACGCTTTTAATGAGAGCCTGTGACCATGACTTGTTCATATTTATGAATGCTATGTAAAAGTGCATTAAATAGGTCTAATGGATAATAAAGGAGATTGTGGAGTCCTTTGGCAGGATATGTAGGAGAAAGAGTTTGATACCCCAGGGAAGCTGGTTTTAAAAATTAAGCTTTGTCTCCAAAAGAAAGTACAGTTAAGCAATAAATAATCATTGATAAAAGGTTTTTCTTGAGTTATTAGAATGAAAGGAGATAAATTTTCAAAGAAAAAAAAGAACTGCTTGTAGTGGAGTAAAAATAATAAAAAGGTCATATCATACTTAGGCACTAATAAATTCTTAAAATATAGGTTTTTAAACACTAAATAAGCCATCGAGATTGCATGTGCCTCCTCATTTGTCACCACTCTCAACTATGAAGAGCTATAGGGTTTTTTAATGCTATTTTATGAAATTGATTTGGCGTCTCAAAATTTGTAGTGTAGCAGCAAATTTTGAGAGATAAGAATATTTTGGTACCAAAAGAAAAAAAATAAGTATGCTTTTCTGAGGTTACTTATTAAATGAAACCTGTGCTATTTCTAAGAGGTAAAACCATGGAACTCCCCTGACAGATTCATTACATTTAATCAAATCTGTGGGTAAAACAAGTCATGCCATGTATTCCACAGTTCCACTTCTCATTTGCCTCGTTTAGTAAAATATGTAAGGATATCTGCCCCAGAGAGGGGACCTGGGCTAGATCCGGGATCCAGAAAGCCCCTAACTGGAGTTCCCTGATCAAGCTGCCTGTCATTTACATGAAGTAGGAAGTCGGGAATCTAGGATGTATGAATGAATAGGGGGCCCATACTCTGGTACTTACTCATCTGCAGGCTGTATTCACTACATAATGCCAACACTCTGCCGTGTTTGGGGGCGTGTAGACGATCTGCGTTCCTCTTCTCTGTGTGTTTCACACAAGAGTAAGAAAATAAAACCTTGGCCCACAGGCAGTGGAGAGTCAAGGGAGCCCCTGCTCTCTTTCGGAAAACAGCGAAGAGGTGCCCGTTTTCTGCAGAGCACAAAACATTTCCTTAATTGTTAAATTCCAGCTTGAGGCACAACATTAGTGAGTAACACAGATCAGTAACTACAATGGTAGAAGGTTTAGGAAAAAGATGAAAATGCTCATATGCTGTAAAATGAGACTATTTCCACTTATTGTGGCCATATGGAATATTGAAAGACATAATGCTTTTGCCCAGGGAACTCAGTGGCTTTTGAGGGAGTCTACCAACACGGAAATTTTAATTGAATGTTTTTTTTTTCTGCCATATGGCCAATGGCTGAAAGGAAACATGACTCCATTATTTCATAGCCAGCCCTGGGCCTCATATGGTAGGCACGTAATGAATGTATTTGGTCGACTGACTTTTTTACCCTACTTCTGAAGGCAGGCTCAACTTTTAAGTATAAAAGCTCCACAGTCAAAACAGAAAGCCTGTTCAAAAAGACAACTGTAGGTAAAAGGAAATAGCATCATGGACTAGAAGGAATGCAGGCTTTGAGAGTCTGGCAGATCTGCCTTTGAATCCTACCACTGGTTCCTACTACTTGACGTAGGATGTTAAGTTATGAGTCTTAGTTTCTTCATTGTAAAGAGGGTTTAATAGCACCTTATCAAGGTGGTGGGTTTTTATTTTGATTCTTTTGTGGTGGGGGTGTTGATTTTTATTCTCTTTTTACTTTGTTGTGGATATGTGGGTACCTGGGGCATAGTAGGTACTCAGATGTCATTTTTCATTCCCGGGTGGCATAAGGAAAAGTTAGCATATACTTGATCTTTGCCACTATCACAAAGGTTCCAGGAGACTTTTTTTATTGTAGTAAAATAAACGTTATCTATTATAAAATTTCTCATTTTAACTATTTTGAAGATAATCATTCTATGGCATTAAGTGGAGTGATACCGTTGTGCAACCATCACTACCTTCTATCTCTAGATCCATTTCATCTTCTCAAAGTGAAACTCTGTTCCCATTAAACACTAACTCTCCATTCCCTCCTCCCCACAGCCCCTGGCAACCACCATTCTGCTTTTTGTCTCTGTGATTTTGATTATGCTAGGTACCTCATAGAAGGGGAATCATACAGCATTTGCTCTTTTGTGACTGGCTTAATTCACTTAGCACTTGGCTTCATGGTTCATCCATGTTGTAGCATGTGTCAGGATTTCCTTCCTTTTTAGGCTGGATAATATTCCACTGTATGAATATATCACGTTTTGTTTAGTCATTTGATGGACACTGGGTTGCTTCCATATTTTATCTATGGTGAATAATGCTACTATGAACATAAGTGTGCAAATATCTGTTTGAGTCCATGCTTTCATTTATTTTGGGGTACCCAGAAGTGGAATTGTTGGGTCATATGTTAACTCTATGTTTAATTTTTGAGGAACTACCATACTGTTTTCCACAGCAGCTGCCTGCATCATTTTACATTCCCACTAGCAGTGTCCAAGTGTTCCCTTCTCTCCTCATCCTCACCAACACTTGTTATTTTCTGGAGGTTTTGTTTGTTTGTTTTTGAAAGTAACCATCCTAATGAATATGAATTGATATCTCTTTGTGGTTTCAATGTGTATTTCATCAATGGTTAGTGATTTGGAGTGGCTTTTCATGTGCTCTTGGCCATTTATATATATTCTTTGAAGACGTGTTTATTCAAGTCCTTTGCTCATTTTTTACTTGGATTGTTTTGAAAGAGACATTTTTAAATGGTTGGGTCTCTTAACATAGTATGTCATAAAGACCATGATTATAACATTTGTATTTAACCTTGTTCATACATCAGTATCATTCCTGCACAAGTAAAATACGTCTCTCAAAAGTAACTTTTAAAATCAAAAGGAGGTCCTGGCTGGTGTGGCTCCATGGTTTGGGCACTGGCCGGTGAACCAAAGGGTCACCAGTTCAATTCCCAGTCAAGGCACATACCTGTGTTCTGGGCCAGGTCCCCGGTTAGAGGCACATTATAGGAAATCACACATTGATATTTCTCTCCCTCTCTTTCTCCCTCCCTTCCCCTCTCTCTAAAAATAAATAAATAAAATCTTCAGAAAATAAAAATAAAATAAAATCAAAAGGAGAAAGAAAATCTGCAGAGCTCCTAATACTTGGCGACATCAGGAACTCAATAGTGAAATTCAAACTCCTACGTAGACAGTCACACCAGGGACCCTGCTGGTCACGTGTGGACCTCCTATCTCCTAAGTGATTCTCCAGCTTTCTCTCGTCTGGAAGAGGAAAAAAAATAAGTAGCAGTGTCAGAAAAGAAGAGGAGATACTAAAGCACTAAATTTCTCCCAAACCCTTTATAATGGGGAGCATTACCATGTAGAGAAGCGTTACAGTAGTTAAACAACAACAGATTTCTAGGACAACAGGTTTCTACTAATGAAATGGGATTCTAATCTAAATTTCATGTTTGAAAATAAAGAACCTTTCTCTGTTTCGTTTTCCACTACATATTTCACTCCTGATTCCCAAACGGGTTAGGCAGGGTGTGAATGGGGCTGAGGGGAGCCAGGCAAGAGGAGTGCAGAGCAAGGCCTCTGTTGGACAGGGACGGTATCCAAGCTATATGCGGTGGCTGCAGTCGTTGACCTTGAGTGGTTGGAAGAGTTTCTGAATGATTTGCTGTGAACTTTTTGTAATGCACTCTGTGTGTACTGGGGGGTTGGGGGTTAGGGGTTTGGGATTGAGGATTGAGGCTGGCAGTAATGATCCCTGACTTTGTTTACTTTTCAAATCTATTCATTTCACAAGTTCTGGGAGGATCCATGCCTGGTTCTATGGATACACAGGAAGAGGGGAATTACAGTGTTGTAGTAAGTTTAGTCCCTGGCCTAAGACACCAGGAATGGTAGAACTGAAAATGACTTGGGAACCAACCTAGCCTGTAACAACCACTCATGACTGATAATGAAATAGACCCAGAATTTAAGTTACCTGTCCAAAGTTGCACAGTTGATTAATACCCCACTTCCCAAATTCAATCTCCACTTAACTTTCTTCCATAATAGGGCAAATGAATAGAGAAAGTCTTCATGCTTTGTCATTATTAAAATTGTTTATAGACCAAATTATTTTGTTTAAAAAGAAAAGGTACTGCTTACATTTAAC